ATGGTAGAAGACATATAGGTTTTTTCCCCCTTGTTTTGTTCAAAATTATACTATATGCTTTTTAATGTGGACATTAAGACCACTTAGATTTGATGGGATTGCTAATTCGGTTAAGGACTCCTCTGCCAACTTGTATTTGTTTCCTATCTCTCCTTTGTTCCATTTATTTTATTCTAGCTTGTAGAACAATTGAGCACTTTTATAAGTTAATTCTTGCTTGCTGGCTCATTAGCTTTAACTCTGGGCTTGTTATTTTAGTGGCTGCTCCAAAGTTTGCAGTAAACATCTCTGCTCAACACAGTCACCCTCAAGTGGCTTCATGTACATTATGCAAAACTTTCAATGGTTGACATATTATCATTTGTGCTCTTCCTGTTTTCTTATTACTGTTTAACTTGATTTATATTTCAGATATTATAAACCTTTTGCTGTGTCAGAATTATTTTAATAGAGAGCAAATGATCCTTTTAAGAAATTTAAATTTTGACATGTACATTTTCGATCTCTTATTGCATATTAAGCCTCTTCAACACTTTTCCAGCTCATTTATGGCCTTATGCTCCTCTGTTTCTTTATGAATTGCATACTGTTGTATGTTTTCTTAGTCCAATCTCTTTTCTTCTGTGATGTCTAATCTGCTGTTCCTTATGTCCAAGTTATTATTATTTTTTTCAATCACACACACTGTGATTTGTACTTCTAGAAGCTTGATTTGGATCTTCTTCTATATCCCCATCTGTAGGAAATATTGCATCTATGGGCTACAGATACAGTATTAATTTTGTATTATATTCTGCCAGATCATCACTGCTGGGTTGGTTTGCATTGATTGATTTTTCTCCCCCTAGAGTTTATATTTTCCTCTTGTGTATGGTTGAATCTTTGATGAGATATCAAATGGTGCATATTTTATACTCTTTGGTGCTAGATATATTAATATGGTTAATGGTCTTGTTAATATTACTAAGAGTTGTTCTTTGATGCACTTTAGGCACTTAGGAAAACAAAGGAAAATTGTCAGCAGGCATATTGTTCTTGCAGACTTTGGTGAGACATTATAAAATATGTATGAAAAATAAAAAGAATCAATAGTCATCAGGAGTCCTTAGCAAAAAGGAACAAAACATCAGGAAATGAGACAGTGTGTCATTAGTGCAAGAACTCATGAAGCAGATGAATTAAACAGACACCCAGAAAAGACACCAGTGCTATTCCAAGACAGCAAGGAAAGATAAGACCAGTGGACTCTAGCGTTCTAGGCCTGAGATGAGTCAGACAAAAGGACTGAAATAATAAAACATAATCATTTGGAAGTAGACAGCAATTTTCTAATCTGAATATCAAAACACCAAATGATAACTACAAAGAGTCCTGAAGTGTGTTGGATAGGAGGTGTCTACTATAGAGTCCATGTGGGCAATGTAGGAATGTTCAGAAGTGAAATGGTTAGAGTATGAGAGCTATAACCTGATTGGTATTAATTCATAATTTTAATGGATTATTGGGTGGTAACTGTAGGCAGGCCTGGCCTGGTGGAGGAAGTAGGTCACTGGGAGGGTGCTCTTGGGGACTACATTTTTCCTTTCTCAGGAAGTGTTCCCAGCTCCTCACCTCAATTGTCAGTGTTGTAGAATAACCAAGATTTATTCCATCTGAGCAGGTAAAAAGGGAGCCTGGGTTGTCTGTAAATTGTTACTAGTAACATTTCCCCAAAACATTCTGCAACTGTTTCAGCTAACAATACAAGATTAGCAAGTTTGCAATTACCACCCCCAACACCATCTCTTGAGTAGCAATCTGCAGAATTGATCTTTTCCCTCCAGATCCATCCTGGATTCTAGAGGCTGAGCACAATTTACTATATTAATGGCCTTCATTCATCTCTCCCTCCCTTGTGAATGTGGCTCATGGGAGACAAAGTGAGGAGATGGAGTGATGGAGGGCAACAACTGTCCTGGTTTGCAAGATCTATTCCCACGGCTCCCTTCTTGCTAGAATTCAGCTCTTACTGGCTATTTTTCTCTACTAAATGGCACAGAACCTTGTAGGAAGGACAGTAGAATAAAACAGATATTATTACCTCTTGACTGATATGATTCTGCAACATGTACAATCAGAAAAATAAGAAATTATATTCCATTTATGTATGATATATCAAAGTACATATATATTTTTGATTGTCATGTACAACTAATTAGAACAAATAAAAGAAATTTAAAAATCTTGCTATAGAAGCCACTTCTCATGCCCAGAGCCTCAAAGCCTCTGATCTGGATTTGAGCCCAATGTAAATAAGAACCACCCACTAATTCTAGCCACAGATGCTTCTCCTAACCTTGATAGTTTCCTGTGAACCTGTACGACTTTGTAAATAATCCATTAATTCTCTCTTCTCAGTCTTCCCAGGACTTTGACTAAAAGACCTAGCAAGGGGAAAAATGAGCTTTGGAGTGTATATTTCGCTTAAAAAAAATCCACAAAAGATCTAACGTTCAGCAGTTAGAGGTAACAAAGTTTCTACATTCTGCAATTAGATGCCAAAACTTCTAACATTGTGCAATTAACATTGCAAACAGAGCCAGGAGAAACACTGAGAAATATTCATTGTGAAAATAAACAGTGATTTGGGGACATAGAGGCCAAAAAAAAATCTAGAAAACATTTGCCACACATCATCATGTGCTCCTCCAGAGGGAAGACTATGGCACTCATCTCCTGTGCAGGTGACATGGTGGGGCTGCACCTGGATGCCCTCCTCAACAACACCCACCCATCCCCACTTCACTGGGCCCTAAGGAATCCAAGGAAGAGTTGACAATGGAAAGGGGAAGCCAGTAAGGTCAAGACACAGGTGTGGCAGGATAGACAGATGTTCACCTCCTGATTTGGGAGGCAGAGCCTTGCTCATTTATGACAAAGAACAGGAAAAGAGGCTGCTACAGTGGAACACAGAGTAAGAACCAGAAAAGAGCAACTCATGAAATTGGGGAGGGAAAAAATGCCTTAGGAGGCGAATGACTAGGCATAAAAGAACAAGATGTGAAGCAGTCTTCATTCAAATGTAAAACTTCAGTTCATCAAAACATACTGTTAATAAAAGAAAATGGAAAGCCACTCTGTGAGAAGACAGACTCAGTAGTTCAATCACCAAACGGCTCCTATCTAGAATATACAAAGATATTCCCTACAAATCAAAAATAAAATCAAATAATTCAATTTTTAATGGGCAAATTTAAAAGCAGACATTTTACAAAGGGAGGAAACATGGTAAGAAGATAGGAAGAACCAATAAGTACATGACAACAGTAAGTAGTATTGCTCATGAGGGACGTGGGAAGGAGACACCACTACAGACCCAATAGGATGACTGATGAAGAAGACTGAGAACACCAAATGTGGACCTGGGTAGATCCCATTCCTTTGTATATAGTACATCTGAAATAAGTAGAGAAATTATGGTACCCTTACATAACACAACTCTGCAATCAAAACGAATAATCTACTGATATACCAAACAACATAGATACATTTCAAAAATGTAATCTTTTGTGTGTGGAATAGATGTCAATAAAAAGGAGTGGTATATAACTCCATTTCTATGAAGTTCAAGAACACACAAAACTTGTCAATGAGGATAGGAATAAGAAATGTGGTTACCTCTTCAACAGAAATAGGTGGGGAGAGGCATAGGAAGCTTTCTTGGGTGATGGACATATTCTTAATCATGATTTTCGTTATGATTGCAATGGGGTGTGCTGTTATCAATATTTGGCAAAAGTCTACTGATTAGCTTGAGTATGTTACTCCTTATTTTACCTTAGTAAATAATTAATATGAACTAAATAAATGAATCATGTGATACATGCAAGTTATGTACGAAAATATGCTTGTATTCTGTTTTTTAATTTAAACATTTTTCAAAAATATAAACAAACATGTACATACATATATTACACAAAATACTTAGACTATAAAAGTGTTCAGGATTGAAATATACAACATAAAAATTTAGCATCAAAATAAGCCACATTAACAAGTTGGAGAAAATACACCTGAGCATTGATTGCTGAATTAAAGTTGTAGACAAACAGAAACTTAGGAAAAAATCCACAAGGCTGCTGGACTCATTCATAAATTGCTCTAAATGTCAAAACTTAGGGAACTAGTCTCCATCAGTCTCACCAATCAATCATTCATTTGAGCTTTCATCCATTCATCAGCCGTAAACTGACATTTTACCAACAAGCTGCCTGCTCCCCTCTTCACACACAGGGCCCTGGGTGAGCAGGTGCTCACCTCTGGCAGCCTCATAGAGGTGCACAGTGTGCACCATAGACACTTGGGTTTTCTGTGTTCTTAGAATCCCAGCTGTAAGCCTCATGGTCTTGCAGAAAATGGGTCCCAGTTTAGAAATCATGCTTATGTGTGTGGACCTGTTATGCAGGTCCCAAGGAGGAAGATGGGCTGGAGGAAGATAAAATGGTTGTCCAATATTATGCTGTAATACTTTGTAAGAAGAACATTAAGGTGATCATGTATTTTAATTCCAGCCAACACAATTAATAATCAAGGTCCTATTTCAAACTACCATAAGACTCAACACAGTTCTGTGAAGACTTAGTTTATTGTCTCTTTTTTATAATTCTCCTAATGTATTTTCTTCAGATCTAATGGTATTTTGGTGCCTCTAACAACATTTCCCCTCTCTGGATAGTTTATGGGTGTGTTTTAAGACTTGTTAATGAGATTTATTTAACAGGGTATGTTTGCTTGGGATCTAATGGAATTAAAAGTGACTTTCTGCAATGGAAGTAAACTAAGAAAATCCTAGATTATCTGCATTGTTCTTCTCCCTGGAAAAGAAAATATAATCTAAATTTCATGTTGAAGTGATTTTCTCTCCTTGAATCAATTACTAGAATATTCAATTGAGAAAGTGACATTGAATGTTATTTGTATGTCAGGACAACACACACACACACTAGTGAACCTAGCTCTCATATCCATGCTGCACGAGGTCCATGGGGTGGAGGCTGGCAGTCTTGGAGGGGCTTCAGGACAATGTTTTCTGCTGGATGAGGCAGGGGCTCTGGAAGGAGAGTCCACCTGAACCCTGTGGCTGCACTTCTTGTGCAGAGAGCAGCTGGCTGTGCCCTGCTGTGGCTTCGCTACTGGCACAGAGGTACAGGGAGGACTGGCTGGTGCTGGGGGACTCCAGGGTCAGGGGGAAATGCTCCTTCTGATCCCTGGAGACACTGGACCCTTGGGAGGCTTCTCCTTCAGCTGTGCTGCCAACACTGTCTGAGTAGTGCAGCAGCTTCAGCCCCTGTCCTGGGTCTTGTCGGTACCAGAACATTGCATAATGGTTCAGGTTCTGAGAACACTCCAGGGTTGTCTTTTTTCCCGTGTGTAGGATAAGGTGTCGGGGCCTCTGGGTGATCACAGCGTCCACGAGGCCTGTGGAGAGGGAGCCATAGGCAAAGTCAAGACTGAAAAAGTGTCTGTATCTGCAGAGGTTTGGGAAGTTGGGAGCCTGGACTTGGCAAAGCCATGACAGGGTTTTCCAGCAGCTGCAGAACTCACCTGTTCCCAGGAGACAAAGCGTCACACAGAAGAGTCTGGGGTTCATGCAGGTCCCCATGGAAAGGAGCTCTCCCAGCTAATGCTGTGACCACAGGATGACAGCTGGGGCTCTGAGGCTGCTCTCCAGTCACCTGAGAGGTGGGGCCCTCATGCCACTCCTCCACACCCTGTGGGTTCTCCCTGGCCCAGGGGCCTCCCCACTGGCTCAGGCAAATCAACCACTCCACTCATGGATGCTGCTGCTTAGCAAGAACTGGGGGACGGTGGGTGTGGCAGCAGTGCACTGAGTTGGGGCACCCCCACCTGTGGTTTCCCTCCTCCCTCTGGGGCAGTTTGTACTCCATCTGTAGCTGCCCTGACACCTGCAGCTGTCCTGCCTACATTCTTCAACTGTGCATCTCAGCTTAGAGGGACCTCCTACCCCTCCCAGCGATGTAGGTAGCTGAATAATAACTGAAAACTTCTCAACACCAACCTGATGTGGGACCCAAGTCCAGGCTGTTCTTAACCCTTCTCTTCCTAGGCTGCTCTCTCAGACTCTTCCTGAGATCACTGGAGCCCAATGGCCTCACAGTGCCATCTTGTGGCCAGGCAGTGATAAAGCGTCCACTCCAAAATTAGGATAGAATTCCAGAAGTAGTAATGGAAGTTTTAGGATCAACTTCCTTAAACCCTAATCCCAACGCTGATACTAATTCTGACTATTTCTTTCAGTTGCCACGCTTCATAAAACACCATCAGTCTTCACTCACAGACATGGCAGTTTTGATCTGAGATCTTCACCCTTCAAATTGTCTTCTAAATGCAGAGAAATAAAATGGGAGGAATGACAGGAAATAATATATAGTGTAAAACTATTAGTAAGAAAACACAGGAATTGAAGTGTAAGTTTCTTTACTCTGTTACTCAAGATAAATAAAAAATGCCAAGAAATCCAAACCACCACAACCAAATGCCTGTCACTGTTAATTCAAAAGTATATATGAGCAAAGACCTGGGCATGTAATGAGGTCAACTTCAAGACAAAGTTAAATGGGTGAATGAAAAGTAGAATTAGAATGTAAGAAAATGTGGGCTAACCTTAAGGCAACAATCACGTACGGAGCAGTATCTCATGGGGAAGGCAGTGGTGGGCAGAGGGAAGGGGGACCAAGTGCATCCTACACCGAGAAGGACTTGGACAATGCACACCTGCTGATGGGAGCAGCTGGGAGGGAGAGATGGTTCTGGAAGAAAAAGAGGAGTGGAGGGAGCTAAAGGCACATTGGTGCAATGCCAGGAGACTCTGTGCTGGATTATAGAGCTCATTCCAGGTCTGCTATGTCACCCAAAGAACTGTCTCCAGTTCCAAGCATCTGCTCCTGAGTCCCTGGCTCCACCCTGAGTTAGAATTGCTCCAAATCCTTGATTGTCCTAGGGTTTCCCTGACACAACTCCCTATTCCATTCGTGTTGAGAACCATCTTGATGAGAATGATTTTCCCCATCTTTGAAATCAGCTCATAATGACAGAGACCTCTCATATGGGCAGATCATGTAGCTTTTAAACTGGACTAAAAGAGTTAGGTGTGGACAACTGCCCTTCGATGACCCCTCATTCTAGGATGCCTAACGTAATGCTCTGAAAGCTGCACAAGCTCTGCTGTGTGTATCACTGTCCTGGCTGCCTATGGGGGGGGGGGGAGAGCTGAGCAATTGAAATGACTGACTTCTGGATCCAAGGGAACCACAGAAACCTCCCCAAGAGCCGTAAGCAAATCCAGAGGCATTGCCCTCCAGATGGATGAGAACACAGGATGAAACAGAAGGCAAAGCAAATGCTACAAAATGAAAGGAATCTCAGAAACCCAATCCTGCCCATCCTTGGAAGTCCTTCTGTGATCTCTTTCTACTCAAAGGCCAGCTGACATCCTAGTCCACCACCTTCCCTTGAAGGTTGAAGAGCAAAGAAAGAACACTAGGTGTCTCAGAGCTGCAAAGAGAGAGAAGGATGAGTTTTGTGATCAGGAAGGAGGAGCTTGTGCTACACTGTGGCAGAGCTGCTGGCACAGAGGTACACAGCCAAGTCCCCAGGCTCTGTGAGCTTGGTTTCCAGAGTGGAGAAGGATCCCTGTGGCCTCTCAGCAGAGAACCGCTCACTGTGCATCCCTGACTTATCTGCTGCACGTTCATACTGGAAAGACATCAGGAACTCCAGGCCTTGCCCCGTAGTCTGTCGATACCACGGAAGGCCACTGTGTCCAGAAATTGGATCACACCTGAGAACTACATTCTTTCCTCTCTTTGTGACCCTGTGCCTGGGGGACTGGGAGACTCCAGGATGGGCGTGGTCTGTGGAGAAAGAAGATGGGAAAAGAATGAGGCATGCATCACAGTCAACACACCCACACCCACACATGCACATACACCCACATGAAGGCACATATGTGCACCCACACACATACAATCAAACTGCTTGGTGTCCTAAGGACTCACCTGCTCCCAGGAGACAGAAGCCCACATAGAAAAGGAGCCTGGTGCCCATGGGAGTTCAGGATGGATGGAGACTCACCATAGCAGGTCATTATAAGCAGCTGCAGAGGAGGAGGGCTGTCCCTTGTTATCACAGTGACATCATTTCCTCTATCTATCACCACAACCTGAAAACACGTGATGCACATTAGAGCATACTTGCATGACATGTTTAAATATTGATATACTTCTAGCTAACAAAAACCAAAGCATGGGTCAGCACTTTCTGCCTCAGTGCTATAGTATAGCGAGATCTCATATTGTGTGTCCTCTCCGAAAGTCCAGAACAAGGGCTTTCTATTCATTTGTCTTTCAGTATGTCTTTCAATTTGTCTTTCATACTTTAATATGAAACTTAAATATGAGAATTTCTATATCTGTAGATATTCACAGTGACAGAACTATATATGTAGACTGCACACTCATTACAGATAAAGATAATCTATATTTTAGAATGGAAACTCCTGTGCCAACGAACAAATGATCTGCACAAATAAAAGTTAGGCTTTTGCTTGTTCAACAAGTTGCACTATTCCTAAACCCAGAGCAGACCACTTCACATACCCAGACTCACTCACTCTCACGCATTCTGAGCCCTGGGAACTGAATGGTGAAAAACACTAGGATCCCAAGTCTTAATATCAAGGATTTGTTCTACCATTTGGGCAACTGAAGACAATTAAGCAGCTAAAGTACTCATTTTACTACTTAGTTCCAACTAATTCAGAGACATCGCAGTTGAGTCCGCAATCCACGTGAAGCAGGTATATTCAGAAGCAGAGGATCTTGGAGACCACAGCAGGAGTGAGATGGGTGTGCCACCAGAGAAGCTTTCCTCATCTGGAAACATCTTTCCAGAATGGTCTGGGTGACAGCTGGTCAAGAGGCGTTTATGTAGAATTAGCAGACAGAAGCAAAACAGCCACCACCACAGGTGGAAGGTCCTTGTGGTTAGACAGGGAGACAAGGTGACAGTTACAAAAGTGTGCACAGACAACAAGGTCTTCTTACTTCTGTACTCTGTGTCTAGCTTTCCTCCCAATGTCCACACAGGCAGGCTATGGAGCCCCACACAGAGGCAACTGCTTCCCCAGAAGCAGCTTTCCATGCACTTTGGCTCCTGTGCGAGTCCCACCAGGCGGCTGGGTGTGCTCTGAACCCTCTTCCCTGCAACCCCAGGCCCAGATCCTGTACCAGAATTCCAAGAGCACTGACTGCTGGCCATCCCTTGATCTTTGACTTCTCCCTTCCAGACCTGCTCTGCCTCAGCTCTGCCCACATTTGTGTTAGGCCTAATTTCTCTGATAAACCTCTTCCCACAGTGCTTCTAGCAAGTCTGTTGCACCTATGGAAACTTGTTGGTACCAGAAATGGTTCCAAGGAAAGAAGACTTTAAGGACAGAATTCAGAAAGTCTTTCAGATATGATTAAATTGTTTGTGGACAAAGAGGTTGAAGAAGAGAACATGCATCTGGAGGAATCTGTCACTGAAGCCTCAGAAGAAAACCTTGAGCCAGGAGGGGTGTCTAGGGGCAGAGACTGCTCATCAACTGCATGCCCACTGTGACCCAGCATCAAAGGGTGTGACTTCTCTCAGTTAACGCTGGACCTCTGCCAGGGTAGAGTGTGACCTAGGGTGCCTCTGTTATTGGTCCATCCATCCATTCAGTGGATCATTTACTCATCCCTTCTCAAGGAAATGGGAGTTCACTGTGGACAGGGCACCTCGGGGATAAATGGAGCAGCCTCTAACCCTGTCCTCGTGGAGGTTAAAAATGGAATTGTGGAATGAAGTAATTAATCAGGGATCTAGAAAATTCCAATTGCACTAAATTCTACTGATTGGCATATTATTTCTGGAAATTTTTACACAAGGGGAATTGTGCTAAATAGGGTGATGAGGACGTCTTGCCCTCAGGAAGGTGGTGGTGATATCTTAAGCCCAGGTAGGGCTACTCCTCTGCCCAAGGCTGAGGAGGTCCCCTTTGATGTGTCTTCAGTGGGAAGAATCAGGCCTGGATGAGGACTGGCAGCACGGTTGGAGCAAAGAACAGGGAGGTGGGAACACCAAGACCTGAGGGCACAGAGGGGATTTACAGTCCATATGGGAAAGATGGGCTGGCACAGAGGGCACAGGAGGGATGGGATTGTGGAAGAGCCCTAGAGAGAGAGGCAGTGGGTGCCAGGGAACCCGGGAGTCTAGGTGGATCTAAATTACAAACCACACTCTATCCTGCAAGGCTCACACTCAAGCCTGAGAGTAAAATGTCCCTGTGATGCAGAGAGCAGCACAGGAACCTCCAGGGTGTCACTCTGAGTCCTCACTCTCCCTGCCTGGGCCCAGAGCCTTCCTGTCACAAGGGGCCATACACCTTCCCTAGAAGGTCAGATCCAAATGAGTGGCCAAGTGAGTGGCTTAGAATGGAACCCATTTTTCTGAATTGCCACATTCTCTTGACCAGTTTGTGAAACAGTCTGTAACCCCGTGGATATTATGCTCCAGTGACGCTGTCACTCTTTCTTACTACTTTGGTTCAGTCATCTAACATTTCTTGAACCCAGAATCTTTGGGTAAGTCCTTATGGCTGCTTGGTGACTTTTGATCTGTGTGTCCCAAATTCTCCTTCAAGTATGATTTTCAAATTTGCTCAACTGATCACTGTGCTGCTCAAGCCCTCAGCCTGCAATGAATGACACTCTAGGGTATCCACATTCAAATCCCAGGAGGGGCTTATGAGCATCTGAAGAAGGATTTGGTCTGTTTTTTGTAGATTCCTTGGCAGGTGGGACATCTGGCAAAGGTACCTAGGGCCCCTTCTCATCCACTCAGAGCATTTTGTTCCTGCGCCCAGGTGAGGCCTCAATGCAGAGGTGATTCCCCTCCCCTTGTGGAGAATGGGGACCACTCAGCCCTGTAGGTGGCCTGTTGGCACAGAGAGGAAGTATATGGGGGACTCGAGGAAAGGTGGTCCCAAAGGTGAGAGAAAAAGCTCTTCTTCTTTGAG